ATTCCCACGTGATGTTACTTGGTATTACTGCTGTTCTTACGATTACCATCTTTCATTTTCTTGGTAAACTTGTCATCTTATGTCATCTTTCACAGGCTATACCTCCATGCCTGAATCTCACCCCTTTTGGGGTGATGTGATGTGTCCCTTTGTGTTGGTTTATCTCGCTTTCTACATCTTGCCATGTTTGTGACGTCCGGTGAAATCAAATCAGCCTGGTGCCCCCAAGGTGATGAAGTGTTGGAGCCAGAGGCAACGGTGATCAGCCCCGGCGCGAGAGAAGATTCTCGGTTGCTCCATGTGGATGGAAACCACGACATCAATCAGGGCCTCTCGAACGAGAGTATCCCCCATCCAAACCTAGATTACCTTCAAACGGAAACTAGTGAAACATATGCGTCGTTGATGCTTTCAAAGCAACTGCTTGGGCAATTAGATCTCAATTAGTGATCATTGCTGCGTGTCAAATGGTCGTTTCCCCATTGATTGGAAGTGGAAAAGATATCATTTCGCAAAGGAAAACCTACTTAGACTTAGAATGACTTTCCATGTCCACGGTTGTTACCCAGAAGATGCATCGTCATTTTTTGAATATCCCAGGTTAGTCATGAACTCCCCATCTTTTGTTTGCCGGTCGTTACGCATTTTGATCGGTTTCACCGAAGCTTTATCTCCCAATTTGGCAGCTCAATCACTATCTATATATAATATATATGATCTCGTGTTCCGTGTTCCTACCCCCCCCCATTGTATGGGTCCCCAGGTAGCACCCCCATTCCTTTCTATTTGCAAGCTATTGGCGGCATTTCTGAGGTCCAGCCTCGTATTTGCTAGGTCTTTGCAGCATTTCTGACTACCAGCCTCGCATTTACTAGGTACATGCTACCTTTTAGACGACCTACGTAGCACACCTACGCGCTAACTATAGTCATATATACATGTGCTATGTGCCTACATTCATACATACATACATACATACATACATGCATGCATGCATGCAGGCATACATACATACATACATACACACATACATACGTGCATACGTGCATACGTGCATACCTACATACATACATACATACATACATACACACGTACATACGTGCATACGTGCATACGTGCATACGTGCATACCTACATACATACATACATACATACACACATACATACATGCTCAGAACTGTCATTGCAAATTTTGATGTGGAATGCATCTTACGCGCAAAAACACTCCAATTACACCTGACAGGAATGGGTCGGTGAAAAGACCCGACAGAGAAGCAAGAAGCTACCATCGCCATAGTCAATGCTAGATGAAATCAGTTGGAAGCTGACCCTTCCCTTTCAACTAAGCCAAATCGTTCCCACCTTGACAGATTGCGAAAACCGTACGGAAAATGAAATGGCAGAGACTCAAAACTGACGTCACGGCGGTTCTAGGCTTAGCCGGTTGCCATATACGACCAAAATGCTGCAAGAAAACGATGTTGAAATCGCAGGTACGTGATGAAGGCGTCCCTTCGTCATATCACCATGGAAAGGCAGTGTCTTCGTTGGTGGATGACTGCCAGACCATGCATCCACCCCCTGCTGTGAAAGTAAATGAATAACGAAACTGTCATGTAAACATGATCGTTGGTATTACTCAGAACTGTCTTGTCGAATTCGGTTTGTGGAACGCATCAGATGTGCAAAAAACACCAACAATAATATGACAAGATGAATATACAAACATATATATATATAGACGTATTGTCACAGTAGATGTTGACCATATAAACCAACAGCGTTAAAAAATATAATTGTATATATATATATATATGTCCCCCCCAGGTGCGACTTATATGCGCCCAGGGGCAGGACTCATATATATATATATATATATACAAATATGTATAAAGCAGCAAGTACAGGAAACCGGCCACGTTTCCCTTCCACTTATGTCCACCGCTTCATTGCGTGTGGTAGGACATGAGTGCCACAAGCCCCTGCAGCAGAATGAAGTTTTACATCTATACAGATGGTACACACACAGACGCCCCGCGGCGGGGCTGACAATGAAAGTGAGATGACAATGAAAATGAGATGAAAATTACTTAACCAGGACGCGAAGAGGGGAACACAAAAGAAGAGGGAAAGAGCAAACACCAACACAACACACCTGGCCCAGAGCGAGCAAACCCTGACAGGGCAAGGAAAAGAAACGGAGGCCGACGGAAACGGAACCAGACCAGCGAAGGAGGGGGAAGACGGAAGCGCCTGAACCAACCTACCACAGCGAAACCTGAGCCTACCTAAGCACGCGCAGGACCCAACCTACCTGTAGAGAGGAGAACACATGAGATAGGGGGCCCATGGGGGACTAGGTAGTGAAAAGATGCATCCACAATAGCATGCAGTGCCCCCTTGTCTGGCTAAATGGCCGAAAAATCACGTCAACCCAGTTTACATATATATATTTGTATATATGTGTGTGTGTGTGCGTGTATGTATTTATTCGTTGGTTGGTTTGTTTGTTTGTTTATTTGTTTGTTTATTTATTTTTTTATTCATTTATTTATTTATTTAATTATTTATTTATTTATTTATTTAGTTGTTTAGTTGTTTGTTTTTTTTACACAGACACATATCTATGTATATATATATATATAGCTGGCTGAATTTTCATTTGCGTGAGTTGCCCAGCTTTTGAGCTGAGGACCTTTTGCGCCAGAGCAAGGACAAAGATCATTACCAGTGCGTTGAGTCGATCCAGGACCACAACTGCTCCAAACAGCAGGAAATCTCAGCCAGAAATGTGTGGGATACAGACCAAGAATTTTGGATTCATGGAGTACGTGTTTTGTTTGTTTTAATACGAACAACAATTTGGACATCGCCTTTTCTGAAGAAACCATGTTGTAAATTCTTCCAGTTTTGTTTGATTTTATAACTGGAGAACCAGGGGCACTGACTTTTGCCACATACGATTCGGCACGAAACTGGACCTCGGCATTTGGGTTGAGATGACACGTGGCGAAATGTCCACAGGACCTGCGCAGACTTGCGCATGATTTGGAACCATGACATGCAAAAGCTAGAGTCTCGGGTCTCGGTGTCTTTCTGTGGTGAGCATCAAGCATCAAAGCTGTCAAGTTGGCGCAACGGGACATACCTCCTGTGGTTCATCAAAATTGAGTGCCACTCGGTTCTGATCTGCTAGTTTTGTTTGCATCCATTTTTCTTAGGTCATATGGGTTTGTCTGAAAGTAGCAGACCCAAAAATGTCGCGGCTTAGAAAATCATGTTGGGTATCCCATCAGTTTGGAACAAATTCGTACATTTTTTTTTCACAACCCAGCCATCACTGCCGTTAGGAGACCAAAACGGTGTTTGCTTCTCAATCTGCACAGCCTCAGGAGCAGGGAAGCCCGTGACTTCCATGGTGTGGGGTTTGTGACATGTCATGACATGTCCCAAAATTTTGGGGATGCCAATTTCGATTTTTGGACTATCCTGAGTTGGAGTCATACATACCACTTGTGTGATGCCCTCCATATTTGCTGCTACTCAGTATATTTGTTTCAAGTCCCCTCTATAAATGATCCTAGGAACATGAGCTTGGAAAAATCCTCCCCGCGTTGTTGGGATTATCATCGTGATACATTCTTGCATTCTTATGTTGATGGGATCTCTTCTCATTGATTGTCGCTTGTACACTGCAATTTTCCCACCGCTTTGAACAGGTTGGACCAACAGCCATCCGCACCAGGCGCAGTCGGCGTTGTAGAGTGGATCCACGGAGCATGGCGACACAGACACATTGACCAACCGAGCTCATGACTCCAACCAAGAATTCACGGTTTGAAGATTGAGAAGGTAATTTGTTTGCTCTGGTTTCCATGACCCAGACCCATCTTCAAGCCCCCCATTTCACAGTCTTTCTATATCAACTGTGACAGCTTGCAGGCACGAAGGCTCCCTATGTTACTTCCAATGTGAAGTGCACGGGCTTGTCGTGGCTAGCTGTGAAAGTGATAGAATCTCGTTGCGCCGCAACTGCATATTGCTGGTCCCATGGCAGGGGCCAATCTCGTTCGGAGGATAATGTGCAAAATATTTCACCAACCCTTTGTGGATGCAGGTACACATATGTGCTTCGGCCAGCAGTGGCCGATCTAGCCAGTGTCCGCCGAATCTGTGGTGTGGCTGCTCCGGTTCTGCTGGCGCACCCAGCTGTGGCCTATGGATTCCCTGTGAAATGCGCCCACTACGTGGCAACACGGCCAATGGCTTACGCCCCAAATTGTTTGCGATGACAGGCTGGTTGGGAGGTGGGATTTTGCGGGGGCGAACGTATCTACCCCACGTTGGTCGGGGAGGCATGAATGCCGAATTTCTCACTTCATGAAACTTTCTCGCGGAGATGTTGTTCTCATATTGGTGCGCCACAAATTGAGATTTCGAGGTCAACAGGAGAACAGTTCAAAGTCAAGCTGTGCTGATTCAGATGGAGGGTTGATGCTGTCCCCAGATACATATATATATATAATATATATATATATTACTATATTTTGGTGGTTTGACTTTTACTTGTACCCGCCTGAGTTTTTGTCTCAAACTCGGATACTGCGAAGTTTGATATTAAAATGTGAAAATAGGTGTGGATTTAAGTTTGGGTACATCAAGAAATGGATAATTTAAGACTATCACCGGCCAGCCCATGTGGTCGGTGTGTCAAGCCATCACATCCCGGTGACCCAATGGTTACAGCCACGTTGTGGCTGAGCACCCCACTGGAGGTGCCGCTGAAATCGTCGCGCAGAATAAAATACCGCAGTGGCGCAGTGATGCGAAATCCTGGCGTTCGGGTATCGAGTTTTTTAGGGTGCAAAAAAATCATCAAAAAGGCTCAGATCAAAAAGACCCACAGCTGGCACAAGCAGCCGACAGTTTTGGACAAGCAAACAAATTGGTACATGATTCATGGTTGATCCGGTGCTGTCTTTCGCCTCAAGTCGTAAACACGCCCGGCCGGTGCAAGCCGCACATGAGCCGCCGCACATGACTCCGTCGTCAAATCCTGTGGCCCGGTTGAAAGGCGCGGTGGGGGGCAGAAAGGAATCTGATGTAATCCGCACATGCTCAATCAACCGACGGCTTGTTCCATTCATTTTCATGTTTCAATGCAATGAAACCCCATGGATTTTCCACTATGTTGCAAGGTCTATCCTCATCCATAGGTGGGGATTCAAGATTTTGGCCAGGCGATGTTCGATGAAAGGTCGCAGCCAGTGCCTGGGCAGTTGGCGACGGGAACATGTTGGAGATACGTTCGTACTATGTTGAAAGGATTTGCAGGTATGGTATGCATACAACCTCATAGCATCTGCATCAATGATGTTCATTTTTTTGATATCTACTAGATGTCCACCAACCCCCTCATCAAATTCATGACAAAACATATTATCTATCTATCTACCTACCTACCTAGCTATCTATCTGTCTGTCTGTCTGTCTGTCTATCTATCTATCTATCTGTCTATCTATCCATCTATCTATCTATCTGGGTGTGTTTTATGGCCCTCCAGTGCGTTGATCTATCAGAATCTGGATCAAAGTTGTTCACCAATATTCACCAACCAATTTTGGTAAGATGTTCGTTTCACCGCCTATGGGGAGTGGGTCCCGGTTTCACTGGCTATATATCCATTCAAATCCCCACAAAACCAAATAGAATCATGTTCTTTGCAGCTTAAACCCTATGTGCGAGTCTAGATTTATGGACTTCCAAACTTCCGAAATTCGAGATGGAACCCACAAATTGCCATTTCCAATTGGAGAACCATCTTCCCCTTGAGTTCCCTGTCAGATCCCCAAGAATCTCCATGGCGACGGCAAAGGACAGTGATGGGACGGCCGATGGCGAAAGTCAGGCAGCGGCAGATGAGGACAGTTTTGAGATGGTTTCGGGGGTGGAGCAAACAGTTTGATGAAATTCCCCCCAATTTGTGATTGCCACTTTCTTGGGATGATATTATGTGAGAAGACCTTTCTATGATGTAGGAACGAGAATGGGATACTTTTCACAAGTTGGACTTCAAACTCATGCATCAAACTAACAAACTAAAGGCACTAATGTCATTCATTGTTCATTTGCCACTCATTTAGAGCTGTCTGTTGTTGGCATAGTAATTCCCAGCTACAAACCATGTCTAACTCGTTAAGCCCAGATATATGTGGACCTTCTTTGGCACCCCTTGGCCCCAATGGCCAGGAAGACGTCGATGACGACCGCATCGCTTTCGCCAGTCACGAAAGTGGGACTGAAAACACAGTACATGCAGAGGAACGAGCCGTGCAGGACCGCAGGTCAAGGCATAAAGACTTGGGGAACTGGCCACAGGTTTTGGTCCAGTTGTAGATCATCCATTTTGGGAGTACCCCAATTTTGAGAGACAGATATTAGCCTCCTGGACGAAACCCATGTACATATTATGATTTTGTTGCGCCGATGCGTCGGAAGTCTCTGTGTCTAGAAGGCGCTGTGTGTAAAAAAAATCCGGGTGTCGGCTGTGCATAGAGCATCCATGCGCAAACGCGAAGGCATTTGTATGTCTTTTTTTTTGTGTAACGGATGGAATGTGGTGAGATGTGGTGAGATGCGGTGAGATGTGGTGAGATGTGGATATTTGGAAAAGCCTGGATGTCTTGGAATCGAGGAGCTTCTGGAGAAATACGCCGAGGTCAACCCTGACGACTTCCCCTCGTTTCGTCTGCCAGTCTTCTTGGCCGACAAGATGCAGACTACTTGGCAGGTGCCACACCAGTGCCGCAGTCTTTTGTTTAGTCTCTAATGGTGTTAATCGAGTTTTGATCAAGTTTAGATCTAGCAGATTTAGCAACATTGCTTGGACCATTGATTTCTACCAAATTCATGGTGTTCTCTCAGGGCAGTCAACCTTGCAATAAAGAAACCGGGGTTTTGGTAAGCCAATTCCTCCAAGAAAATTGCACCAAGAGTTGAACTCAGTGCAGGAGTTTACCGTGTTTACCCATCCTTTTGGCACCGCTGTAGGCCTTTTTGCAGAAATACTCCTCCAGAGAGTTCGCAGGTGAAGCTATCTTCGACTCTATCATGGAGGACGGGAAGCAGGGTTTTGGATGGTTTTGGTGGGTTTCTGTTTAAAGCAAGAAACCTGTCATTAACTTGCATCAATTCAGAAGTAGAAGTTTCAATCCTGGCCATGTCGATGAGCCAACTGGATGTGAAGTAAACACCAAGCAGGAACCCAACAGGTACACCAAATGGGACTCAGCCTCGCGGAATTTCCTCAGGAAGCACCTACGCTACAAGGTATGTTCAAGATGCCAAGGCCGAGACACGTCCCAGTTTGGAAATGGAATATCCCCGTCGCCAAGATCTTTGGCGCATCTGAAAAACGTCTTTGCCCGAAAGCGATTTAAGCCCGAACTTTGCTATATGTGGAGGTTTCGGCACCAGAATGAGTTTGAAAAACAAAAGAAAGCCACCAGATTTGATGGTTCATACCATGATTGATCATCATCATCATCATCATCAGATTTTCCCCAGGATTTTGCAATTTTCTTGGGATTCTCCCATCTCAAGGCCAATGCTCTGCCGTCAGGTCGGTCTTCGGGATTCGTTTCACCATGAGCTTCACGCAACCTGGTATAGCCATGGAAGCACATTCTAAGGCCACACTTAGGTGCATGTATCATAAGTATGACCATATTTAAATACCCCATATATGGGCCCCTAGAACTATGGAATACTATGGCCATATTTACCCAGGAAGGCCAGGAAAATAATCCAAACATAGGAAGGGGGGTCATATTTTCTGACACTGGCAACCGGTCAGAGACATCGGTCATGGCTTGTATTTGGCATTTCAATTTTTCAAGATTTTTCAAGATTTTTCAACTTTCAATTTCCAGTTGTTTTCCAGTTGTCCCAAGGAACATCATCGGAAATTGCAACGATGCGGCGCTCCTGAAGAGGTTAGTTGAGACCCTGGGTTTCCAACACATGGATTTGGAGGTCACCGGGCCTCGCGTCTCTTGGATCGACAAGGCCAAAACGACAGCCATTGACAGCCATTGCCAATGAGGAAAGATCACATGATTTCACGACATGTTTCCTAGATTTTCATAGATCATAGTAAAATGATGTAACATGATGTAACATGCCTTTTTTCAAGATGATTTTTGAAAATACAAATTGTCACGGCACCGAGGTGGGAGTTATTCGAGATGCCATTATGGCAGTGGTGGAGAACGAGCTGGGGGTATCTCTGGAGCCTGTCGTGGGCCGTGCTTTCAAGGCGAGCGATGAGCGATGAGCGGAGTCGGCATGGGTCATCTGACACGACTGGCCACCGCCATGGTGTTTTGATTCGTTGATTTACTGATTAGTTACTGATGAGCAATTCATATGTGGTTTGGTTGCCTGTTTTGCCTGTTTCGGTTTCGGATTTCACAGGCAATTCTGAACTACACCGGCGGCGCCTTCATTTTTGTGAAGCGCGAACTGGGCGGTCGGATCAGGAGCGCGGAGGTTGTGGAGCCGCGGAGCGGATCAAAGTTCCAAAAAAGGCTCAAAGGGACCTGCATTTTTTGGGTTGCTCTGAAACTCTGAAGCCATCAGTGTGCAATTTATATTATATATTTTTATATATTATATACAATTAATTACTAATGGCATATAATCTATGGAATATATCCAATTGTATATAATAGATACAGTATAATTTATATATATATATCCAACTCCCCATGGCCAGTGCCAATGGTGAGTTTCCCAGTGCGATGAATCATGAATTCCAGGATCATCCAGCGAAGCTGGCGGATCGCGAACCGCCACTCGGCACCGGAAACATGACCCAGAAAAAAACATGTTTAATGAGGAAAATGGTGGGGAAATGGAAATACATGGAAATACAGTAGTACATGATAATGACTTGGAAGTTGGGGGTACCCTGTTTTGAGACAAAGTCCATGAATGCCCATGACACTTCCCGCAAACTTCTGTCTCCAAGGTAATGAGCTACAAGAGGGTGAAGATCCTACTGGAAGCCAACTGGGGACCATGGAAGAAGTCCAGGAGGAAGTAGAAGAGGACGGCGCAGATTTCGTTTCTCATGGGAAAATCTGCACTCAACCGGTCGGAAGCTGTCCTTCGCCACAGCTCTCGATTCCTCGATTCCAGGAGGAGTATCTGACGATGCAGGACAACGAGGAAATTGCTGCCATTCTTGACGCCAATGGTTCCTTTGGCAGCATCATCTTCGATTTTGTGCTGGGAGATTCATGAAGATTCGCAGTATGGGGGCTGCTTCCCCAAGTGACAACAGAATCACATGTCTCGCTCTGATTTCCTCCCTTTGCAGGTGACAAGGGCCAGAACGCAAAGGCGATGCTGCATGGAATGGGTTGCATTTGGCTAAGCGACTACAAATATCCCAGTATCCCAGTACACTATGTCTATCCGAGTCTATCCTGTTGACGCCATTTTTGGATCATTCGGGTCATTCGCAACAGGTTCCGTCCACCTTCCCCGAGATGTTCCTCTTCAATGCTGCAGTCATGGGCTTTAGCGAAAGTTCCTCAGCCACAAATGGCTTTTGTATGTTTTTGTGATGCCTGGATCTTTGGATCTTCTGTTGTGCCTTTGGAAAAAAACATGTTTGGAATGTGAATGAACATAATGAAGCAACAGTTGAAAAATCGTCGCTTCCCATTCTGGAGCGGTCTGCATTCTTGACTGTTTTGAGGTAAGTGGATGAAACAGGTGCTGAGCCTCGTCGGAACAGAAATCTGTGCAGCCTATCTCCTATCCCCTCAGAAATGGCGAGTTAGAAAGTTGCTTTCTTGAAACAAACATTGTAACAATTTGTAACAATTGGGTTTGTCTGAAAATAGGGTATATTCCCAATGAAATAGCCATTTAAAAACGGGATAATGATCAGCAAAACCATTGGGTACAATGGGGTACACAACATTTTCAGACACACCCAATTTGTAACACACAACTGCGACCAAGGGCTTCGCTGGATGCTATCGCCACGAATGTGGCAAATTCAGCGAGACTTCAGGAGAGGTCGTGGATCAAAACCCGAAAAAAGGCTCCAGTTCCCATCAAAATTCAAAATCACTGGAACTTATGGATGTGCATAACCGGCCAAAATATCATTGATATAATATGATATAATATGATATAGCTGTTGATGCATGTGGGGATACAACCAATAATTCAGATTTCAACGATGAAAGAATGCAGATATCAAGAACAACAATTGGGGTGTAACGTCACCTGCAAAAATTGCATATTACCAACGATAATGAGGATATAAAGGGAGGATACAGCAGGATACCCAAAAAATGTTATATGGGTTTGTCCGGAAATGATGCATACCGGATCATGCCGCATAAAAACCCGAAAAGTATCGGGGTAGTTCATATTTTAGGACCCCAGATTTCCGCAGAAATCCTGACCTGCGAATGATGCTGAATCGGAAGCTGCTGGGGAATATTGGTATCGACCAACTTGCTTTGATCTTGTCTCGGATTTCTTTTTTAAATTTCAGAAATGTGATCCAATTAGAACTGGGAACTGAGAGCACAATTTGCATGCTGTACGATTCAGGAAGAGTGCGACGTGCTGTCTTTGGTTCTTGCCAAGTACAAGGTGCGGTGAAATGAGTGAAATTGGTGAAATTCGTTGAGTTGTCGTTGAGTTGTCTGGTGCTGAATGGTGCAAAGTTTCCATGTGGAAAACCACGATCGTTTCGTAACGATCGTGGCATTTTTCGGCAGGGAGTGATCAACCTCCCAGAGTTCAAGGCGGTGATGTTAGCGTCGCTACGCTCCGTGGTCCCGCAAGACTGGGCGCCTCGACGGGCCATGTACGGAGATAGCTGTCCCACCCCATTGGAAGATGGGAGAAATCTGTAGGACATCTGTAGGAAATATGCCATCTAAACCACGACAACCAAGACCTGGGTGTGATCCTGATGGTAGGATTCAGCTGAGACTGAAATGGAAATGCTGGAATTTTGCTGAGGCTTCCCTATGAACATTTCATGGGATGACTTCCCAAAGACGGTTTTTTTTAACAAAATCATCGTTCCCCATCGAATTACCAATGGGTTGGGGCTGAGCAGTTGTACCATTTTTCGATCCGTTGAGATCTGTTGAGGATATGGAACATGAAACTGCATGGACCTGGCTTTGGGAAAACGTCGAGCGAATGCTGATGCTTGGCAGAGATCGCGATCTTTTGTGTAGAACCTGCTGACCCCTGTCCACATCATGATCCTCATCCTTACGTTGTTTTGTCATGCAATCATCATTACTCAATGTACTCCTTCACCATCACCATCACCATTAACCATTAATAACCATTAATAGCCAGTATTAACCATTGCCAACCACCACATCATCATCATCATCATCATCATCAGGATGATCAACAACCACATGGTCCACACATCCAGACATCCACAGCGAGGACGGCCATGATGGGCACTCCCCTCCGCTATGAGAAGGCCTTGCGGAACTGGTTGGGCGACATCAGCGAGGCTCTCAAAACTCGGGGGATGGATGAAGGGAATGGGAAACTTTAGGGATTAGACAGAATTAGACACATGGTTTTTTTCTTTTTACGTCAGAGTTTTGTTGAGAAGAGAACTGATGTTGGCATTCCCATTCCGGCCACAAAATGATCAGCCGTTCCCATTCCGCGCTGGCCACCCGCTGGCCACCCGCTGGCCGACTGTGTCACCGTACGCCGTAGGAGACCCGGATGAAGTGGCGAAGGCTGGTCTTCTCCAAGCTCTTCAAGACCACCCCGGCGGCACAGCATCTCGGCGCTTGAAAAATCTTGAAATGTTTGGATCACCCGCATCCCTGGCATTGCGTGCCGTGTAGATTTCTACTTTGTGGTATGCTTGAAACTAAACTGATGGTGCTTGTGAATGCGTTGCTTCATTGGCACGTCATGAGGAACTATCTGAAACAGTCGACGGGCCGATTGCATTTCATTGCAGATCGGATCTTGGAATCTTGGATCAGAACGCAGGCTGTACACGGTGTATCTCATCCTACAAATATCTTCAGGTATCTCCAGGTTGAAGCTCTTTTCATCTCTTTTCACTCTAGGGTTTTTCCAACGACATGTGCAATAGGCTTTTGTGCCTTGTTTCGAGACATCAAACTTTGGTGGCTCCCAGAAAGAGGAACAGAGACACAGCGCAGAGACAAACTGTACAAACCTGTCGGACCTGGTCACAGTCCAACTGCAGACACTCATGATACTTTTGAAAAAAGAACAATCGTCTCCCCCGATGGATAGTGAGGTTGGTTTGATATGGTTTGATCGATTTCAATCGGCAAGGTTCAACAAATGCTTCATAATCTCCAGGGTTGAAGTGAAGATGATTTTACCATGGTAAATTTGGAAAAAAATGTTTAAAAAAACAAAACACTCAGCTTTTTCCATCGCAGGAGATGACCTTGGAACTCTACATGGATCCTTTGACCATGGTCGATCAGATTTCTGCCTGTGGCCTCCGACACGTCGGCTACGGCGTGCCCACAGAGCTTTTTGTGCCACTGGTGGCGGCCTACACCGATGCCACTTGGAGAACTTGGAGAACTTGGAGAACTTGGAGACAGAGAAGAACATGGTGATTTCATGGTGATTTCATGGTGATTTAATGGTGATTATAATGGAAAATCCATAGAATCTTTCCTAAAGTCATGGTGCTACCCCCCAAAATCATCCAAAATCAGACCATTTCAGAAATCTGTGGCTTTGGGGGTCGTATCTTGGAATGTCTTGAAATGTCTTGAATATATAGGCCTTCAAGAATTGGATCATGTGAATATTGTGAATATTGTGAATACAGTGCAAAATGCTTATGGAATCCTGAAGTTGCTTATTAGTTCTCATTGTTATTGGTGACCCACTAAAACTCGTTATAAAACTCGTTATTGCTTGCTCATTGCCAGTGACCCCGGGTGGCCGTCGCGCAAAGGCACTGGAGGATTCCAGCAAGGGAGCAGAGAAGACAAACCATGCAGCTGGCCGCACAGTGTGGGTGTAGTCATAATGTGTATCTATGTAGTCATAATATGTCATAATGTAGACATGTATAGAGGGTTACAGGTATAGGCCGGTATAGGTGTATGATGGGGCACAATGACTACCATATTTGACCGTATTTCATGCGGTGAAATTGGAAATGATGCGATACCTGTGAATGGAAGGCTAGATAATGCTGGATGCAACTCCCAAAGAGGTGAGCAGGATCGTTGTGAACATGGCAATGGCGGCAATGGGTCAGTTCATCACTTTGGAAACGTGGACATACGTGGACCATGAGGGCATGAGGGATGACTGAGTCAATGGCATGGCCCAGAGTTGAGCCCAATGCCCAAAATGCCATGGCATGATATGTTGGGAATTCCGCATTGCATGTCTGAAGCCACTTACCCCAGAGTAGCCGAGCAGATTCAATGCAACATGAAGGCTATAGTGTACTATAGTGGCATATTGGCTATTGAATACTATTGAATGTTATTGATTCTGCAGCTGTGATGGGACCAAAAATTCTGGGCCCAGAAGCGTTCGCAGAGGGACAATCCACTGAGGTCCAGTCGTTTCGCTGGTCCTTGACGCTGATCTCAAAGATGTTGATCCGTGTGATCACCGAAGGCACCGTGGGGCACCCTGGGGGACCGTGGGGCGGGCGTGGTACCATGGAACTATGTCGAGCTTCTCGTCCCGTCCCGTGGCAGGCTCAACAGTTGTTATGAAAGCCATCAATACCAATCACGAAGCCGCGCTGAAGAAGGCACCATTTACGGATCCGGTGGAACCGGTGGAATGTGAGGTGTACATCTGGAATGTAAAAAAAGCTCAGTGACTTTTTCAGTGTCAGTGTGGCAGTTTTTCGTGACATATCATGATGTTGTATGAAGAAATGCAGAAACAACATGAAACAACATGAAACAACCATCAGACCCCTCCAGGCAGTGGCCATCATCCCCCGTGGTCAACGAGCCACGGATTTGCTGAACGTCTCCTGTGGCACGCAGTCCATCTCCCCGCTGCACCTTGGGACGCAAAATTCTTGGGTGACTAAGGATATTAAATGGATATTGAATGGATATTAGGTGATATCAGCACACATCATACTGGTAGATATGATTTCAAAGTATGGGCACATCAAATAGCAGTTTGGATTAATCATGTTTCAGAATAGGAATTAGCAGGGATTGACCAATAACAAACTCCGGAAGCCCTCCGAAAGCGCATATGTTCTTATCCCGTACAAAGCGGGGATCCAGTAGGAAAGTTCGGACATGTTCCGATCGAAAGGGACAGGACTGGACAGGACTGGACCATTGAGGTATTGGGCGATTGACAGCGGCAGCCTGAACTGTGCAAAAGCGATCATTGAGGTGCAGTGGCAGTCGGCAGTTTTGAAGATTCGAAACAAAAAAGGGAAAAACTGGCAATATTTTGGCATTTTTTGGCCTTGAATGCGAAGATAAGGAAGAGGAAGTAGACGAAACATGACGAAACCAGTTTGTGATCCCCTCCCACAACGCTCGTGACGCATCGTGTCCCATTGGATTCACCCAGGATTTGCTGACAATTCGGGCAGATCGAGACGTGACCCAGGGATTTCTATGGATTTCTATATTTTCTATGGAGTGAGAGGTCTTTATGAACATCTTTGTGTCCTGGAAAGGTTGTGAAACGGTGAAACCGAAGCAGGGGGTAGGAATGCAGCGAAGCAGCTTGCAGCAGCTTGCATGGAAGAGTCGAAGCAACCCCTTGGCGACACCCCGACATTTCATGGATTCTCTCCGGCAAATGTGCATTGGCCCCTACCCTGTAGAAAATGTGCGGAACTTGTGAAACCATGTGAAACCATTAATATTTAGCCATGTGCGCAGTTGTTACGGCCTCGGGAGGTATATTACTATGGCTGCGACGCGTTGTTCACGCGACATCCGGACTTGATCCATCAGATGTGTCTAAGCTCCGTGGCTGCAAGCAGCTCCAGCTCCAGCAGCGGAGTCGGATTTCGATCCATGGGGATCCATGGTGAGGTGCTCCGACGCTGCTGCAGCCTCTGTTGGATGGCCTGGTGTGGCGCTCCCGAAACACCATGGATGGCAAGCGCCGGGTGGCTGGGCACGGGGACCAGGGGTGACCACTCAGAACGTCCTGAGGGATGTTGGGGTTAATTATCAATAGTTGATGTTGTTGGCGAAGTTGGAGAAGTTGGGAGAGGTTCCTGTTGATATGGACTCTGGGTCAACTGGATCAACTCTGCATCTCTGGTGTGATCAACTTAGATGCGACTCTGGACGGTTCCTGAGAAATTCACGTGCTGCTTCCAGCTGTGAAGTTCAGAGCACCTGGGGACCTGGACTTTTCGACTTTCCCCGAAGTTGTGGCAGTTGTGGCAGTTGTGGTGTGGAAATCGCCAAGGTCAATTACTATGTGAAGCACCTCGTGCAGGACAGGGTCCAATTCGGGCAATCTTCATTACATGTTCAATGCCTTTCAATGTTTTTAACAGTTGTTTCCATTTAGTCTCAATTGTTTCAAGTGACATGAAACTACCACTGTAACTTTCACTGCTTCTTACGTTTGTGTTGCACTTCATTCCACATCATTCACATGGCGTTATGTGGTTTTGCAGGGCATAATTTCGATGCAACCATACTGATCCATACTGAACATTAATGCACCATGCAGCATCCCAGGATCTGGATGGCAACTTCAGTGAAACACTGAGTTGGCTGGTCGAGTACCAGGCACGGGCAGTGGGTCCATGGTGGACCGCGGGTGGACGGACCATGGCCATGACTCGTCACACGTCCAGGATCCGCATGTGGTGAGCCATCCCGCTGCCGCGCTGGCGGCTGATTTGATCTGGTTCCGTTTTGCCGTCTTTTACTTCCTTCGAGGCGTGACTGGCTCATGCTCAGCTGAGAGCAAATGTTCAATTGCTGTACAGCATTGCTCATCAATCTGATCCCCAACATATATGAAACTAAGAATCTTTGTTTTGTTCCTTTCGTTCTTGTTGTTTGATGACCTGAATAAAGTCTTTAGTTGAGCCCCGGATGCAACAGGACGTTGCTATTTGCTCTTCACTCTTTGCATCTTCATCGCCGGCCAAGCAGTGCTTGGAAACGGCGAAGAAAGCTTTGAGGCACCTGGACGTGGAAATCCATCCCACTTGAGATAGTCGCAGTTGGCAAATCGGACAAATGTTTCATGCAAGTCGCATTCAGATTACAGTGATAATCAGTGATAGTCCCCATTTTCACAAGGCGTGCAGCAGTTCAAACCTGGCACATGCACAACAAAAATTGAATGCTTGCCACAGTTGACGCCGTCAAACAGGAGAATGTGGCAATTTTCAGCTGCCGGTGTTTCCTCTACTTCGGCAGCATGTGTCAACTCCTCTACCAGCAAGTGAAGTTGCTGAGCACATCTGGACAGCATTGGATCCCAGATATTCCTAGATGAAAAGTTCGTGAATGGAAACTGTGATGTTTTGGTGGCAGCATGTGGCAGCTTTTCAAGATGTTCAACGTGAAAATCAGAGGAGCGCCAGAGCACTGAGGTTAGCTTACGTGGATATCAAACGAGGTGCCATCAATCGGTCCTATGTTTTCCCGATTCCTGAGTATCTCTTTGATGTTCAGCAGGCGCGAAGCCGGGCACAGAGCTTATTTTGCTTGGCACATGTATTTGCGCGCAAATTCTGATGCCAGTTTCAGCTTGCAAAATGCCTAGAAACTTAAAGAGAAAAAAAGGGATTTCATTTTGCTATCAAGCCCAACTTTTCTTTGCTGATTCGTGGCAGGCTTTGTACATGACGTTGGTTTTCGCGCTGATAGTGATGTTGCTTGGAAGCGAAACCCCCTGTGGCCATTTCGCAGTGTCAGTCCGGAGTAAAGTGGATGATGTTGTGTTTCTTAATGATTCGAAGATTGTAGCGCGCCAAAATATATAGATTTTATATGTGCCTTTTTTTCCCTGGAGTAGCACGTGCGTTGGGCAATATGTGAGCCATCTCAATATCTTTCAGCCCACAATGTGTCATTTGAACTATCCATGCCATTAACAACCATTAACAACCATTATCCATATTTTCCAGATGTTTCCAGCAGATTGCGGATTCATGTTTGCTTCGCCATCCGATGGCGCGATGCCGTAACGCCACGATGGAGAAACACCTGAGGTTCTTTCTGGAGCCCATTCTTTGGTGCATCAAAGACAGTGCTGCGTTGGGCACAGCTGCTTGGCCTCAAAGCATTGCTCAACATTCAACGAACTATTGTTACAAGTAAGTGCTACTATTTTTAGAAGCAAGTCTTATATATATAGTTTTATATAGTGTTCTGATTTTATCATATTTTATCGGGCTTTGAGGAAAATAATGGGGAAATCTAATGTTGTGACGTTTCTTCCCCCAAGCTTCAGAAGCTCTGATGTTGTGTTTCGTTGTGTTTGATGAGACATGTTCGGACCCAGGAGATGAACAACTCGACGGGAACCTACATCTTCACTGAAAACTGTGCAGAGGCTCAGGCCCGAAGCTGGTGAAGATCCATCAAATTCACAAAAAACACTGAGAAAATGAAGATGAACATGATGAACATGATGAAAATGAAGTTCACTAAAGATGGACATGTTTTGTCACGGAAGGGGTTGTTTCGGTAGGACATGGGCGCCTACTACATTTTCTCCTGCCTGGCCATGCTGCTGTATTGGGCGCTTTTGGTGGACTTTGCCGTCGCTGGCCACAAAACATGACCGCAGCTTCTTTTCGGATCACCAGGTCCTCGAAATCAGACATCAACAGATCGAAACTAATCGAAATAAATCGAAAATCCCTGGGGATTTGCCATTTTTTGATTTTTGAAGGTCACTGTGGGTAATTCTGTGGTATATCTATCAGTCTATCTGAGTCTATCTCCATATATATCTCCTTTGTTCAGCGGTGTTCAGGTCATCTCCATGCGCCTGTCTGCCTTTGTCTTGGTGTGCCTTGACGCCATTTCTGTCAGAGATATGGGGACTTGGAAAAGCTTGACCCAAGTGGCTAAATGATGCTAAATGGCTAAATTCTCCAAGGTTGCCAATGACTCACAATGGGTCTATAGAGTCTATAGACTGCAAATCTCTGGGGAGTTAGACTTAGTGCCGCTGCAGTAGTTTTCTGAGTTTCATGGGTTCACCCCAAGTCGCAAGTCGATCTGAGGTGCAGTCGCGTGATGTCCGAGGCTGGACCACACTTTGTTTTTTTTGCATGGCATGTCACAAGGCTTCGTCAAGCTGCGGTGTTTCTCAGGTGGGACTTTTCTTCTTAGCTTTGTCCTTCTTGATTGTGGCTTTTGCCACAGCCATTAGCTCTCTCAACCACTCGCTGTGCCTGAGCTGCTATGGTGGATGCGGTTGGCAAGTTGAAGGGCTATCTGAACGTTTCCAGTGTAATGGTTGAATGAAAGCTATTTGACAAACTGCTCTATTGGTTTTCAAAGCGACAAGCTTAGATGCCTGAAAGTTGAGGCTGGAATACGACGGTGTCCATCTCTGGTTGGGCACTCTTCTCCGAATCTCTTTAGGCCAGGTGTGATGCAGAGAATCGGAGAAGGTTATGCCCATGTCATGCTGCGATTTCTGGATGATTCACGTTCTCATTCACCACCTATCACCACTTATATCACCACTTATTAGCAGGTCCATCTGAAGTGTCGGGATCGTTTCTCCATGCTCGGTGTCACATGGTCAGTCATGGTCAACCTGGACCTGGCAGGCATGTTCCCAGCTGCTGACTACCTGCGCTTCAAAGACGAGGCACCTTTGAGCATGATACAGATGATACAGATACACTATCCATCAAAACAGAAAGACCAGAAAGTACTTGGAAAATCTGAAAGTACAGTGACTCCAGTGACCCCAGTGACAGTAAATGGACTCCCAGGATGTTCATCCATGTTCATCCCCTCCACTCGGTTTGAAGCTACAGATCCCCGAGCTCCCAGGTACCGGTCTTTGTGGCGATCTCTGCATTTGTGGCGGTTGTGTTCGTAGTGATGTTGCCAGGGTCCTCAAAAGTTGCCCCAATTGGGGCATGGATAACCAGGGTGCAGCGGTCACTAGCTCTATCTCTCCAGATTCCAGTCCCTGAAATGATCAAGTTACTGCAATCGCATGCTGTCGTGAATTCGATGCGAGACAGATTCATCTGGTGTGAGACGTTTCTGAGGAACTTGCTGGTTGCACAGCTGACCGAATCTTTTCACTCAATGTTCAAAGACAGTCAAGGCACTGGGATGCTGGAAGGTTTAGAGCTGACAGTCATTGAAGCGCAAGTGTGGAGAATCTCTTTGAAAACTCGTTACTTTAAGATACTTTAAGACTTTATATGTTTAGCTTTAGATGTCGTATTTTGGAAACAGTTTTGGATGTTTTTGGAGTGTTGCAACTGTCGTTTGTGTTTCGGACCGAGATGAGGGAAAGCTCAGGTCCAGCCAGACATGCCCAGATCAAACGGAATTTTACAGCAGAGATAAATCAAATAGATTAACTAAATTATCGAAACGAAACGAATTGATTGAGACAATTGTTTCCGATTTCCGATCGACAACGAGTTCCTTGCAGTTCCCAGATCTCTTCCAGACCTTCCATACCTTTTCCAGGCTATGCCCGGCTGAACCGGGCTGCGGTCGTGGTATCAGTCATGGGCCAGGCCGGTGAGGGATAGGCCCAACATGGCCCAACCAGGTAACCAAATATCCAATGGCAATGATGGCAATGATGGCAATGCAGCTCCCCAGGCTACACAGAAGAGATGGGCTCGTTTTCTCCGGAAGATGGGCTTCGAGGCGCGGAGAAGCACATGTCACTATCCTGTCCACATATATTCGATATATTTTTCCATAGACTCCCTATATCCATGTAAGATATGTATGGATATGTATAGATATGTATAGATATGTAAGATTCCAAGATGAAGTTAACTAAATTTCACCAGTTCGACGTGTTCCACCCTTTTTTGGACCCTCTCAAATCGCAGGAACGCCTGGAGTTCAACCAAGGGGATATTGGTTTTGCCGGAGGCATCCAAATCATGGAGCCTGCGTCGCTTGGAGATCTTGGAGCCCGAAGTCGATTTGGAGTGGCTTCATTTCCCATGGAAAAAACATGGATAAGAAATATAGTGTATTATATATAAATACATACATGTACCCCCCTGAAACCTACCTTCTCTAACATGTCTATCACATGGGTCTGAATGGGTTACCTACATCTATACGAACTGCCATCTCATATCCCACGGGGTACCATAATCTATACATATCGATATTTAGATTGTACTTAAGAGATAATCCAGAACAAGGGCTTGCAAACGTTTGCAAACGAGAGGAGTTTTGGATTCAAGATTCACGATTCAAGGTCTAGAAAAAAGTTCTTGAATCAGATTCAAGATTCAAGATATATATATATATGTATATATACAGATATATATATATATCATATATCATATATACACATGTAATATATGATGTAATGAATGTAATGAGATATATATATATATATATATATATGTGTCATCCAGGATGGCCCAAAACAACAGAGTTTGGATCAAAATTTGGACAACCCAACCCAAGAACCATTGGTGAATTCTTGGTACATGTTCAACATCTCAAGACCTCGGTGGCCATTCTGTGTGGTCATTGCCGGTAAACTAATTGTTGGTTTCCATTGACCCCATTATATTTCATAGTATAAACATATGTATTTCATAGTATATATAGTTTATTTCAATTATATTTCATAGTATATATATATGTTTATATATGTATAAATATGTTGGTTTCTCTCGTTTTCTCCCATGAATTCTGAAAACGCGAGGAACGCCAGCACCGTGACCACCGAGAGCATCAAGCGCTACGGCGGCTCCACGGCGCCCAGCATGCCGTGGCCGGAGGCACGGTGGAAACATCCATGGTACCCATAGATATTTGGTCTACATAGATGGATAGATAAATGTTTGTGTTTATGTATTACTACATATGTACATCACATATATATATATTATTATATTATATTATATTATATTATATGTTATATTATATATTATATTATATATTATATTATATATTATATATTATATTATATATTA